CCCTTGTTCCACTGCCTGCTCCCCAGCTAGTTTCTGGAGACTGAAATGGACATAACACTACATTCTGAAGTTTTCTCAGTTGGTTATAATTATGCCAGGTCTGGGCCCCTCTGGTCTAAATGCCCCAAAAAGGAGTGAGGGAAAACAATATATCTCCTGGAAAGCTATTGCCACTTCTTTGGATCCTGCTATAGCATTCCTGAGGTCCCTACTGAGAAGTCACAATTACTTGTGACTTCTGTTTAGTCTAGCTAGCCTGCCTGTAACCTCAGGTAAACAATACTAGTTAAATCCCACTACTCATTTCTAGGGTTTGTGGCTGTTCTCTCTGAAACAGGTCATCCTGGCTTTGCAGCTCCGGTAGAGGAAGTATTGCCAGCTTATGAAATATATCCCTACAGTTAGGTCTCCTCTTCCACAACAAAGGCAAATCTGAACTCATCAACTGCTCTGAAAAATCACCTTTACTGTAGGCAATGAGTAAGATAAATAAAATAGCAGAAAGATTTATATACAAGCAGGGTGAATCACATAAAACGCAACTGTAGTTTGTAGAAATAGAATGTAAGAAAATAGCCATACAAATTAAAGAAGGATTCCATACTACATTTCTTACCAAAATGCAACACCTTTCTCTGCACAGAAAAGTGTCCTGCTTTCTCCTGACGCAGCTTTTCTGAAAGTAGCTTCCCACAGCTTTCAATACCAGTTACCCCCATTTCTGCCACTTGGGGGTATGGATCATCCTCAGGCTAAGAATCTCAACTTTTCACAAGTTATGGAGGGGTGTCTAAAATGTTAGCTTTTGAAATGGGGTGATACTCTTATTTATCACAGAGTTTACTTCCTTCCAGAGGGGTTGGACAATAGGGGCAGGGGAACAGCCAGGCAGGGAGGAACCAGAGTCTGTGCTTATTTCCTCACACCAGGCTTATGTCTTCACAACTTGCAGGACCCCAGGATACCATGGCTCCCCAGTTGAAAAAAAAAAATCACTGCTCTAGACTGTCACGGCGGGGTCCCTTAGGAGGGCCGTGACCTCCTCGAGGTCCCTCGCTCCGTGTCAAGGCCGGCCCAAGGCACCCTCTTATTCTCGTTTGCCACGTCTTTGATGTTCCGTAGGTTCGGGAGGCTGCCTATGACTCCCTGGGCACGGCTACTCGGGACCTCTGTCCCTGTGTGTTCCTGGACCCCCTGGGGGTCTCCCAGTGTAATGGGTGCTCCTCAGGCACCCTAGCCTTATGGGCTACACGTGGCTCCTACCAGCCCCTAATACCACGCCCCAAGCCTCGCTGATGGGAAAGACGTTGTCCTGTCCAAATACACCTA